GCGCGCACGGTCGGGGACTCCTGGCCAGCGTGTCGCTCCGCCGGAGCTGCCCCCCCCACGTCTCGGCGCGACGCTCGAGCCGCGTCCCGGTCCCCAGGCGTCGACGTCCCGAGCCTTCCTCCTGGCCTTCCCGCCCCGCGGAGCGGAGCGACGCGCTATCTGCTCGCAGGGCACAGCGTGTCGCCGGGGCCGCCGCCGCGACACGCGATCCAAAAGCTCTTGATCGTATCCCCGCTGCCTCCTCCCCGCCCACTTCCCCCCGCGGTCCCCATACCTCGCCACTTTGCATACACCATGGTTCCTCCCCCCAGTCACGGTGTGCATGTGCACATGCACGTTGTGTGCACAGCGTAGTTCCGTGTGCACGTCGTAGTTCTTCCCTTCCCCGCCACTATGCACATATACGCACGTGTTGTGTGCAGGCTGTATGTGTGTACATGTCTAGTCCGTTGTCCCGCGATATTTCTGCCTCCTCCCTTCCTCCTGCCAGTACTCATGCCAGCAGTCATAGACATGCCGTTGCCCATGCCGTTAAACGTTCGGGCTCGTTCCGTTATGCAGGCCAATTCGTTTACTCATGCGCATGGGTATCCAATACGATGGGGGCGACGAGTAAGGAATGTGTCCAGGTGGCTTCAGAGCCTGGGAGATCTCTTAGAGGCCATTTCTTTAGTGCTTGGGGCATGACGGGCGTCATGGCCCCCACCCCACCCCACCCCTATGACGTAACGCTCCCCCCCCACCAGTGCGCTCCGGGCACTGCCGCCGTGCGCATTGGGATCTGCGTAGGTGTCCGCGTAGGAATCCGCATAGGTGTCTGGTCCGCAGGCGTCTTCGTCGTCGTCGTCGTCGTCGTCGTTCGTCGTCGTCGCTCGTGGTTCGTCGCTCGTCGCTCATCTCGTCGTGCGCGCGGACGCGGCTGGAGCCTGTTTTTAAGCTCGGGCCGATGACGGCTATCATTTGGGGGAGGAGGGGGTCGATGACATCACGTTTCGCGCCGGCGGCGTTTGGGAATAGTTAGGAATGACGGAGGACGGGTAGCACGAACATGTAGGTGGCGATATGCACCACACCGCCTGTGTACATCACAGTGCCCGCGTGCACCACAGCGCCTGTGTACACCACGCCGCCGATGTACACCACAGCAGCCGCGCGCAACACATCGTCAGTTTGTGCCACCGTGCCTGCGGGCACAGCAGCTCCTGTGTACACCACAGCGCCTCCGTACACCACATCAGCCGTGCGCAACACAGCAACAGTGTACACCACAATGCCTGCGTGCAGTGCAGTGCCTGTGTACGCCACGGCGCCTGTGTGCACCACATCAGCCGTGTGCAACACAGCACCATCGTTGTGTATATAATTTCAGAAGAAATCCTTGTGACAAAATGGAGCGCCTGTGGATTCCAGAGAAAAACAATGGAAAACACATCATCATGGACAAAGGATCGCCGCTGGAATCTACGAGTCCCCCCGAGTCCGCCCGCATCACCCTAACTCCCACCTGCGTCCAGGAGGCTCCAGCTAACAATTCAAAAGGAATATTTATGGACAAAGGAGCGCCGGTGGAATCTACGAGTCCTCCCGAGTCCGCCCGCATCACCCTAACTCTTTCCATTTGCGTCCAGGAGGCTTCAACTCAATTGGCCGTCCAGGAACCGAGTGGACCGATTCAATCGACCATCCTGCGGTGCACGCTGAGATGCGCACGTGCGTTGTAACGCCAAACCGCACGACAGGGGGTAAGAAGGAGGAAAAGGAGGACGACGAGGAGGAGGAGGAGGAGGAGGTGGAGGAGGAGGGAGGAGGAAAAAACGTCGCATTCGATTATCAGAACTTTCCTGGCGTGGCGTTTAGTTGTCCGCATCAGATCCTGACGTACATGCTCCTTCTACCTGTCCTATGCACGCAGGCACTGTGGTGTACACCAGCGCTGCGTTGCACGCGGATGCTGTGGTGTAGACAGGCGTTGTGGCGTGCACAGGCGTTGCGGTGCACGCAAGCACTCTGGTGTTCACAGGCGTTGTGTTGCGCATGGCTGCTGCGGTGTATGTACACCGGCGTTGTACTGTTCCCAAGTATTGTGGTATACACGGGCGGAGCGTTGCGCACGGCTGTTGCGGTGTACGCAGGCGCTGTGGTGCACACGCGCGGTGTGGTGCACGCGAGCGTTATGGTGTACACAGGCGCAATGGGCAGATCGCCACTTACATGCTGCTCGCGTCGTCGTCGTCGCTCGTCGCTCGTCGCTCGTCGCGTTGTGCGCGCGGGGGGGGGGGGCGTCACGTCATACCCCCCCCGCCCTCCCCCCCCCATGACGACCGTCATCGCCAAACATAAAGAAACGCCTTCTTACCTGATGAGGGTGGCGGTGATATCTATGGCCAATCCTCGATTGGAGTTCCGCCAGCTTCCAGAACCTGGATTCCTTATCCAACGACTCCGTATCCAATGCCCTCGCCGCACCCCATGTGTATACATCCCCAAATGACCCCGACACTCCAGCCAGTTCCTCATACAGGCCTGTGTGAGTACCCCCTACCGCTACCCTCACGCATAGCTGGACCCAGCCTTGGCCCCAAACCCGTAGCCATGCTTCAGAAAGGGCAATGCCCAAGTTCAGACCAGCACACGAACCGTTTTTCCGATGCCTGAACCCAATGTGGTACCAGGGGCTACCATATATGATCCCCCACTATTACACCTATTGCGTTCTGCACTCCAAGCACCGAACATAAAGACGTAGAAATCTGGCGTGGATACACAAATGTACCAGAATTGTTGGCAGGTAGCGCGCATGATTGTGTTGTGATTACATATATATATATATATAAATATGTGTATGTATGGATCTTCGCATGCATACATGTAGGTCCACTCATACCATAGCTGTCTCACGAGCGGCGTTTGCACATACCTGCCACTCCGTGCACCATCGCCTCCGTGCCAAGCATCGCCGGTTTCAGTCGCCGTGCAGTTCCCAGCAACGCACACCAGTCTTGAAGTCTTGTTTGTTTCCCGTGCGCGTCCGTCGGATTGTGTTCGCTTTGCGTTTCCTGCCCGCCCTATCTTCAAGGACGCACTGGCCCGTCTGACGCCGCAAATCAAGGCGCTTTCTTCTTTTGCGAAGATCAGAGGGAGTCATGGGGAGTCGGGAGTAGGAGCAGGAGCTGTAGCTGAAGGATCGAGCCTGCACTCTCCCATTACCATCTTGTACAGTTCTTGAGGATCATGGTGTAATGCAACAGCCAATGTGTCTTGATTGGCTCCGGATTCGCTCATGGTTTCGCACGGCACCTTGCCGACAAGACTAGGCGCTGTTCCTTGATCCGTTGTGCACATTGCATCGCCAAGGATGTTTTCGAGACGAAAGCTTTCAACACGGAATATAGCGGGCAAATATGCGCTATGATTATTCGAGTTCTTGGGTGAACGAACCATGAGATCGAAGTGTTCGCCCCCAGCCAGCATCGTATTAGTGCCCGTCTACCCGAATTCCCCATTGCGCTGGGAACCATTACAGGTCCGGCATTGACGTCTTCTCGATGGGCCGTGTTTGCCATACGTCATCCCGCACATAGTTGCGACCATGCATCGGGCCGATCTCGTCCCAGTCCGCCCTTATAGAAACATCACTTCACTCCTTAATTAACACACGTTTGACTTGTATTCAAGAATGTAGTTTTCCTGCCAGTACCAGCAAGCATTTTGGGGAGGGGGATGCGTTCTAGCATGACGTAAAGCGCTTATGCATTATTCGGCGCCGCTCCCAGGGCACACGCGAACACAAACTGAGACACCACAGCGTGCGAACACTCCCGAAGGGCAGTTTAGCATGGGGAAAGCAGCTGAATTCGACGTAGCATCATCGGCATGCCTGCACCTGAAATCTGGCAAGGTCCAAAGAGACAAGAAATTGTTGCAGATACTCATCTGCGGCGTCCAGTGGGTGCGATACGCATCGCGTGCAGGCGCACGCGATCTACTGCATCCGCTCTGTCCGCACACATTCATTGGTGATCACCACGCACATGCGCGGCTCAGGAAAAACATCAAATTCTAATATACCCTTAAACTCTCACCGCACAGCAGTACATCTCAGTAAACCGTATACAGGTAGGGCACCTGTGCGCATAATTGCGAGCACACGATCCAAAGTGGCGGTTTCGTTTTTCAAATTGCCATCGAATTCTGACGCAAGGAAGGCGGCAGGGACAGGCGCAGCGTCAGCAGGCTTGCCACCAGGGAAATGGCGGGGTCCATGGAGATGTAAAAGAGAGATTAGGTCTCGCATCTTCGGCGTCGCGTAGGTGCGAGACACATCGCGAGCAGGCGCACACTATATATATATATATATATAGGGAGAGATGTGTGTATATATATATATATATATAGATTGGATCGCCCCTGTCCGCACACATGCCTTCGCGATCACCTCCCGCAATCGACGGTCAGGAAGTATGGCTGCTGCAATGCGATATGCCAACCGCACAACAGTGCATGTCAGTGGACCATACATACGTATGGCACCTGTGCATCACACTGCCTTGTGTCAGTCGCTCGATGGGGATACTTGATTCGCACTTGAGTTGGCTTGAGTTATGGATTCGTGTTGCTGTGCGCTGCTGCGCATTGTTGACCCCCTTGTTTCGCAGACTTTCGGCTTTTTTCGCATTGCAGAGTTTCGGCTTGCTCCACATTGGAAGAGGATGGGAGGGGAACATGGAAGATGACGATGAGGAGCGAGGAGCAGGAAAAGAAGGCTATGGCATAGCAGTAGAAGCTATAACGCACTACCTCTCCATCACAAAAACACCCTCCACGCACACACACACACACACACACATACACACACACACACACGCACACACACACACACACACACACACACACATACATATATATATATATACACAACGTACCTGCCCGCAGGCTACCCCTTCCCCTAACTCCCGAGCCGCCCCCTCCCGCCCCGCCCACCGCCATGCCTACCCTCACAGCACCAGCGGCAGCCGAAGCTGCCCACCGCGACCCCAGCGCCCTGCCTCAGCGAGTTCGCCGTGCTCGCGAAGGACGCTGCGGGAAGTTGCCACACGATGTTGCTCAGGGGCGACGGCACGGGCGTCGCCTGCCGCCACATTGGCTCTGGCCGGTGCGACGTGCTCGCGCTGGTCAAAGGCCAGACCTACACCGCAGTCGCCGCGGTAAGTGGCCACACGTGGTGTTGCTCAGGAGCGACGGCGCGGCCGTTGCTTGCAGGAACAATTGTTCTGGGCAGTGCGACGTGCCAATGCTGGTCGAAGGCCTGACCTACGCCGCAGTCGCAGCGGGAGGTTGCCACACGATGTTGCTCAAGAGCGACCGTACGGCCGTCGCCTGCGGCCACGGTGGCTCCGAGCAGCGCGACGTGCCGGTGCTGGTCGAAGGCCTGATTTACACCGCCGTCGTCGCGGGAGGTTGCCACATGGTGCTGCTCAGGAGCGACGGGACGGACGTCGCGGGCTGCCACAATGGCTCCGGGCAGTGCGATGCGCCAGTGCTGGTCAAAGGCCTGACTTACACCGCCGTCGCAGCGGGAGGTTGCCACATGGTGCTGCTCAGGAGCGACGGCGCGGCCGTCGCTTGTTGCAACAATTGTCTCGGACAGTGCGACGTGCCCGCGCTGGTCGAAGTTCTGATTTACACCGCCGTCGTCGCGGGAGGTTGCCACATGGTGTTGCTCAGGAGCGACGGGACGGACGTCGCGGGCGGCCACAACGGCTCCGAGCAGTGCAGCGTGCGAGCGTTGGCCAAAGTCCTGGCCCACGCCGCCTGCCGTACACCGCGAACGCTGCTCTTCCAGGCCCCGCTTGGTGATGGCTCGATCAGCTTTGTGGCCCTGGACGGGGTGGAGCGCTGCACCGTCCAGGAAGCGCTCGGTGCTCCGCTCGCAGATGTGTACGCCCTGCGGGTGTTCGAGCGCGGCGCAGGCAGGGTTGGGCCGCAGACTCGACCGAGCCGACGCCGTCCATGCGGGCGGGCGGTTCCCGAGCGAGGCCTCGGCCGACAACCCGCCGCGGACGGCTTCGGCACAGTCCTTTCCTGGCGAATCTGCCTGTCACGTGGGACCCTCGAGAAAAGAGCAGCAGCACACAAGGATGACAGGCAAGGACGCAAGACCCTTGGACATTCGTTTTGAGATCATCCTAGCGGCGTCAGGCCAAAAACCCTAGGACTCACGGAAAGCACCCTCGGATGCAGGGGTAGTTTGACGAAGCACCGTACCATTGTCCATGATCTTGATTGCACCGCATCGTGAAGGGGAGCTGCTTTTGTGCCGATCGGGAGTCCCAGCGTGGCCCCCTCGTGCCTTGCTCGTCCCCTCGTGGCCCCCCAGGCGGCCCCTAATTGAGGACCCTCCCTCACCACTTCAGACACCGCCGTCCCCCATCTTCCCCGGCAGCACTTAGCTGGCTGATGAATGGTATCCAGTTCGTTGTTTCGCGTCTCTCACTCCAGGGCCTCCCTCCAGGTCCCTATGCCCGAGCAGTGGCATGCGGAGCCCCCTCTGCAGCGGCCGCGGCACTACATTGTCCTTCGCAGCATTGTTGACACGGCCACCGCTGGAGCTGGTGATCCTGACACCGTTGCGCGTGGCCCATGGCCTCGAGGGTAGCCGTATTCTAGAGAACCTTTTGGAAACCACGTGTTGCCAGATTCCTCCGTATCCTCACTCATCATCCTCCTTCGTGCCTCGCCGTAGCTTCACGACCGCGCTCGGCTGCCTCTGACTTCATGACCTCCTTGTGGCACGGGCGGAACTTCAGAATCGGAGTCGGCCGCCTGTGGCCCATGGCCTCTCATGCTCCCCGACGTCCTGCCTCGTGGCTTCCTCCTGGCCTCTGGGTGCCTCCTGCTGGAGATTCGGGACTGCTCTCGCCCTGCCACGGCACGTGGAGGAGGAGGGAGGAGGGAGGGAGGGAGGGAGGGAGGGAGGGAGGGAGGGAGGGAGGGGGAGGGGGAGGGAGGGAGGGAGGGAGGAGGAGGAGGAGGAGGAGGAGGAGGAGGGGGAGTGGCCCCATGGCCTCGCATGCTTCGTGGTCCCGTCGTGTTCCCCTGGCTGTGCTCCAGGGTTGGACGCAGCCGCCCACCGCCAGTGGCCTGCCACGCTTCGCGGCCCCCTCGTGGCCCCTCCCGCCGGCGGGCACTCTTCAGGACCGGGCTCGCAGCATGCAGCCCGCTGCGCGGCAGCCGTGGCAGAGTCGGAGGCTCGGCGCCGGCTTCCCACGGCGTCTGCCGCCTCCCTCGCTTCGTGGTCCACCTCCTCATCTCCCCTTGATATGCGATCCGACGGCGTCCGAACCACAGCGAGTCGGCCGGGGGGGGGGGGGAGATCGAGTGGGGGCAGGCCCTAACCGCGGAAGCTCTCCGTCCACGTCCTCCTCCTCATCATCCTCCTACTTCTCCTCCACATCCTCCTGCTTCTCCTCCTCCTCCCCCTCCTCCTCCTCCCCCTCCTCCTCCTCCTTCTCCTCCTCCTCATCATCCTCCTGTCGAACCCCCAGACGTGTCGGTCGGGCGGCTGGGCGTTTCGTCTGAGATGACCCAGAAGCTTGAAGTTCGCAACGGTTTCGCGGACGGATGGCGAGTGGTTGTCAAACAGTGGTTCTCGCCTCAGCACCGTGCACATCCAGTTGAGAGTTTGCAGCGGCTTCACGGATGGAGGGTGGTTGGTCTTCAAATTGTGTTTCTCGCTCTAGCATTGATTCTGACACCCTCCTCCGTGTACCTATTTTGGCTCAAGATGAAAAGAGATCTTGTTGTTAATCAACACATTATCTCATCATGGTAGCGTGAGCTGGCCACTCACTGCTGCGACCCACCAGGGCCTCGCGGCGCGCGCGGCGCCACGGCGAGCTGGCAGGGCGCGTGGCCCGAGGCGAGAGGCTGGAAGAGAGCGGCATCAGCCGCACCGAGCACAGCAGAGGCCGGACCACCGGCAGAGGTTGAGAGGAGACCACCGAAGAGCGGCCGCAGGCGCGGCAAGAGGAGTGACGCAGCTGTTGAGAATCGAAGACGACAGTTGCAGTTCAAACACGGCCTGAAGGACACGGGCAACAAGTTGCACGACCTCGCGTACATCGAGGACCATCCCTCGGAGAACTCGTCAGGAGCAATCGAGGAGGCGAAGAAGGAGGTCTTAGATCAGATCATAGACCTCGAGCGTACGAGGCAGGAGATCTCAGAACGCAAGGAGGAGCTCGCCAGGAAGCACGCAATTAAACATGGACGAGCAAGTTCGGCAGCAGTTCGACTTACTGAGGCAGGAGTTCGCAGCCCGCATGAGTCAGACCGTCGACGAGATGAGGAGGCTCGAGAACGAGAATCAGCGGCTTCAGCAACAAGTAGCCGGAGGCCTCGCGGCGATTCCGCAGGCGATCGAGCGCATGGGCGAGCAGATCCGAGGAGCTACGCACGCGGGAGGAGCCGCACCAGGTCTCGTCGACACGAAGGGGATCGGCAAGCCCACGACGCTAGGCGACGATCAGGAGAAGTTCGGAGCTTGGAACCGCAAGATGGAGAACTACGTGATAGGCGTGTACGGAGAGAGCTTCCGTCCTGTTCTCCGGTGGGCGGCAGAAGCCGAACGCCCCGTGACGATCGAAGGGGCACAGGAGGCGCACGGAGGAGTACCAGAGCTGGTGACCAAGATCAACCAGCTGTACGCGGCGCTGATCAGCACGACGGCGGACGGCAGCGAGAGCAACGACCTCGTGACGGGCGCGCCAGACGGGAACGGTCTCGAGGCCTGGCGGAAACTTCACCGCAGGTGGGACCCGACGACAGGTCCGAGGAAGAGGCTGATCCTGAGATCGATCATCTCGCCTCCGAAGTGCAACGCGGAAGAGCTGGGGTCCGCCTTAGAGAAATGGATCCAGCAGATAGGCAAGTACGAACGCCGCCAAGGAGAGGACGGACTGGCCGAGCTGCCGGAGGATATCAAGATGGCGGCCCTCGAGATGCTCGTGCCTCAGGACATCGAGAACCACCTCGTACTCAACAAGCATCGGCTCGTAACGTTCCAGGACAGTCTGAACGAGGTGATGACGATCGTGGAGGCTCGGACAGGCGTGAAGATCAAGGAGCCATCGATCCGCGCACGGGCGCACCATCCGGACGACATGGACGTCGGATCGTTCGGAGCCCCGAAAGGAAAAGGCAAAGGCAAGGGCAAGGACGGCAAGAGCAAAGGGAAAGGCAAGGCCCAGGAGACGAAGGGGAAGAGCAAATCGACGAGCGGATCATACTCAGGCTCCCGCACATCCCCGACGGGTTCGGGCCGTGGTTCCGGGCACACGGCACCCCGAAGCACCGGCGTGCGCTTCGACGGCTACTGTCGGAACTGCGAGAGATGGGGCCACAAGGCATCCGAATGCTGGAGGAAAGAGCAGGGATCGAGTACGAGGGCTGGAACTGGATCCGCAACGGGGGCAAGCGCTGGTGGTAAAGGTGGTGGCCGCGGCGGCAAGGCCGGCGGCAAGGCTGCAGGCAGCCTGGAGGAGGAGCCTGAAGCGGAGGTCGCCGCCCTGGATATGGGCAGCTTGGATTGCCTGGAGCTCGCCGGCGGCAGCGGCCGCGGCGTAGCAGCGGTCGACCTCTCTCCCTTCGCGCAGGACGACTGGATGAAGTTCAACTGGGACAGCGGTGCAGCGGTCTCAGCATTCCCTCGGAGCTTCGCGCCGCCGACGGGATTGAAGGGCAACGGCAGCACGTATCGTACGGCCAGTGGTGAGCTTGTCCCGGACGAGGGCAGCTTGCAGCTCAAGGCGGAGGATGAGTACGGAGTGCTACGAGCGCTCAAGGGACGCGTGACGAACGTGCACAAGCCGTTGATCTCGGTGGGGCAGGCAGCAGGAGCTGGACAGTGTTCATTCCTAGGCCGCAATGGCGGCTGGATATTCCACGAGAAGAGCCCAATCGGCAAGCGTGTAGTAGGCATGCTGGAGAAGGAGGCGAAGACGGCGAAGCACCAGATGCTGCCGGTCTATCGTGAGCAGGGCGTTTACAACTTCTACCTCAAGAAGGGCCAACATGGCTCGGTTGCTCCTCTCGAGGAGGGATTTTCGGCGAAGTCGAAGTCCGAGCTGGTGGAGCTACTCAGCGGCAAGTCGAAGGAGGAGCTGCTGGAGATCCTCGAGAGGACAGTCCCCAGGAGGCAGCCCTCGGCGTAAGTCCACTGGAAGACTCAATACAGCAGTCCCCTGCGGCATCGGCTGCAGGGGCAGCAGCGGCGGGGTCGGGACCTTCCGACATGAGACCGCCGGGTTTTCAGCCAGCAGCAGCTGCGGCGGCTGACGCTTTGCCAGCTGCTCCTGATGGACAGCAGGCCGACGAGGGCGAGGAGGAGGCTCGCCCGAGGGTGCTGAAGGCACCTCATGAGCCCTCTCAGAAGGAGATCGCCGAGCACGAGGCGATGGGACACGCGACTTACCGCAGCTGGTGTCGCGTGTGCATTGCGGCAAAGGGCCAAGGCCAGCCGCATCTCCGCGCACCGGAGGACGACGAGACGGCGGTGCCGGTGGTCTCGTCCGATTACGCCTTCATGGGCCAGGACGACGCGGACACCATGCCGATGCTGGTCCTTCGGGATCGACGTTCGAAGATGATGGCAGCGACATTCGTGGAGAAGAAGGGCGACGACGCCTACGCCATCAAGTTCTTCGCACGCTTCTTACGGATCCTGGGCTACAGGAAGATCGTCAACAAGTCCGACGGCGAGCCAGCGATCCTGCTGGTCAAGAGGCGTGCGGTGGAGGAGGTTCCTGGCCTCGAGGCCATTCCCCAGGAGTCGGCACCGGCCGACCATCAGGCCAATGGGGAGATCGAGGTCACGGTGCGCGAGATCAAGAAGCAGGTGCGAGCGCTCAAGATGGACCTGGAGTCCAAGCTGGGCGTCAAGGTGGAGGACAAGCACCCAGTGCTAGCGCACCTGCCGGAGCACGCCGCATCGGTGATCAACCGATACAGGCGCGGCCAGGACGGCAAGACCGCTCTTCAGCGGCTCACGGGACGGCAGTGGAGGAAGCCGGTCCCGCTCTTCGGCGAGCGCCTGATGGTGCGGTTCGCCGGGGAGCGCACGAGGAAGAACGCGCTGGAGGAACAGATGGTGGAGGCCCGCTACATTGGCCACCACCCGCGCGACGGCTCGATGATGGTCATCACGAGCGACGGTGTGAAGAAGGCGGTCGGCTTTCGCAGCCTGCCGCAGAGCGAGAAGTGGATCACGGCGGGCTGGGACAGCCTGAAGGGCCTGCCGTGGGACGTGGCTCCGCGTGCGGCCAGTGCGCCGCGAGCCATCGTCGGACCGGGAGAGGCCGGTCCGCCACCGATTGTGGTGGTGCCGCCGCAGCCGCAGGCGCCGAGGAGGATGTACGTTCTCAAGGCGGACGTCGAGCGGCTGGGCGCAACGCCGGGATGCCCAGGGTGCGTCTCGATCGCCAAGCACGGCAAGGTGCTGGCTGGCCATGCGCACAACGCGGTGTGCAGCAAGAGAATCTTCGAAGCGCTGGACGCTGAGGAGGCAGGCCGGGAGAGGACCGGCCAGTATCGAGAGCGGAGGCAGGGCCAAGAGGCCAGAGTCCGCCCGGCGGCAGCGGCCGCGGCAGGGACCCCTCCGCCGAAGACGGCTCGGAGGATCACCGAGCCAGTGGCAGCGGCGGCGTCGGCGCCGGCCGCGAGCCGATCAGCAGCAGCGCCAGCAGCAGCGGCGCGCATGCGAGAGAGCCAGCCGGGAGCATCAGGCTCCGGCGTGGCGGCTCCTTCAGGAGGAGCGAGCTCCAGTTCGGGAGCAGTGAGAGCGGCAGAGGCCGCCGAGGATGTCGACATGACCGCGACCAGGTCGCGGCTGAAGCGCTTGGCGGAGGTGGCCCCGGATGACGTGCCGGAGGCCCTCGAGCGCGGTGATCCACAGCCGGCAGACGTGCCGGTACCGGTGGACATGGAGGACCTCGCGGCGCAGCCGGCGCCAGCGGAAGGACCTCAGCTGCCAGCTGGAGTGGCAGTCGTGTGGAACGCCAGCGAGGGGAGACACATGCGGGTGCTCGCTCTCGACGTGGCGTCAATCGAGCTGGTCGAGCTCGGAGTGCTGACGAGAGCGAAGGCGGAGTTGCTTCCGCTCGTTCGTGAACAGGTCAGCGGCCACTGGGCCAGTGTCGGCGTGGACATCGCCGACGAGGAGGTGGACAGCATCGCCTTATCGGCGTTGCAGCTGGGCGCCGTGGACGTGGCAGAGGTGTACTCGCCGCATCGGTTCTCGGCGCGAGCGGCGGAGTTCCAGCTGCGCCCGGGCTTCGCGGCGGACCTGGAGGAACTCAAGGAGGACGGGACGCCGTGGGACTTGCGGCGACCCGAGGACATCAAGGAGCTCGAGGAGCTGCAGGAGCGGATGGATCCCATCCTGCTTACGGGGTCCCCTCCATGCGAGAAGTTCAGCTTGCTGAGGGGCCTGAGCGCCAAGTTCAGGACCGATGAGCAGGAGGCGGCTGAGATGGAGGAGGCCAGACACCACCTGAAGGTGGCAGTCGACGCCTACTGGCGTCAGCTCAGGAAGCCAGGCAGGTACTTCCTGCATGAGCATCCCTGGAGCGCGCGATCGTGGAATGAGGACATCGTCAAGGAGCTGGTCGCGCATCCAGGAGTCTTCACGGTCAAAGGCCCCATGTGTCGGTGGGGCATGAAGCTCACGAACCCACGCAGTGGCCAGGAGGAGTTCGTGCGCAAGGAGACCGGGTGGGTCACCAACCACCCAGGCTTGGCTCGGAGACTGCAGGGCACTTGCAGCAATGTGGACGGACGCGCGGAGTGGCATCGCCACATCACGCTCGTGGGCGGCATCGCGCGGTTCGCGAAGGTCTATCCACCGAAGTTGGTGGAGGCGGTGCTGGAGGAGCTCAGGGACACGCTGAACGACGTGGGGGAGCTCAGCACCGCCCAGGTGCAGCAGTCGGGCCCAGTCCCGGTGGACGCGGCGGTGCCGCCCGGGGACTGGACGAGCTACTGGGACGACGTCAACGGCGGCTACCTGGAGGCAGGCCTTGTGGCCCAGGCTCGCGCGGTCGAGCGCGAGTGGGTCAAGAAGCAGGAGCTGATCGAGATCGTCCCGAGGTCTCAGGCTTTCGCTGAGACTGGGCGTCCGCCCATCCCACTCAAGTGGGTCGACACGAACAAGGGCGACGCGGAGAGGCCCAACTACAGGAGCAGGCTCGTCGTGAAGGAGATCAAGGCGAAGAAGCGTCCGGACGAGCAGCTGGAGGCGTCCGAGGTCTTCTCGGCAATGCCTCCTCTGGAGGCCATGCGGTCGCTGGTCTCGCTGATGGTCACGTGGACGCGGGAAGCACCGCTCCACATTCAGGAGTCGCTTCGCAAGAAGGGCAGGAAGCCGGGCAACTTCAAGACCGGCTTCTTCGACATCAGCAGGGCGCACTTCTACGGGAAGGCGCAGCGAAGGATCTTCGTGGAGCTGGAGGAGGAGAGTCGCAAGGAGTACGGCGAGGACAAGTGCGGCTTACTCCTCAAGTCCTGGTACGGCACGCAGGACGTCAGCAAGATCTGGCAGGGCGACTACACGGAGCTGTTGGAGGAACACGGCTACAAGGCGGGCATGTCATGCCCAGCGGTCTTCTACAAGGAGGTGGACGAGACAAGGCTGCTGGGGCACGGCGACGACTTCGCGGTGCTGGCTCAGCAGCAGGACATCGACAGCTTCGAAGCCACGTTGGGCAAGAAGTACGAGTTCAAGAAGACTGCGAACCTCGGCTTCGACGAGGGCGATGACAAGCAGGCGGTCTTCCTGAATCGGGTCATCGAAGTCAGTGCGGGAGTTCCGCCTGGCGGTGGCCGTCCCTGCCGGCATGCGATGATTGAGCCGGACAAGCGGCACGCAGAGATCGTGATCGACGAGCTGGGTCTCAGCAAGGCCAACGGCGTGGACACGCCGATGGAGAAGCGCAGCGCCGACAAGCAGATGATGGACGCGAAGTCAACGGCGCTGGGAGCGGCGGAAGCTTCGCGCTTCCGATCCCTCACCATGAGGGTGGCCTACCTGTCTCAGGACAGGCTGGACTTGGCAGAGGCATCGAAGACGCTCGCCAGGTCTATGCAGACGCCGACGGAGGCGAGTTGGCTCATGCTCAAGAGGGTTGGCCGCTACCTCAAGCGGCATCCCAGTACGGTGACGGTCTTCACGGAGCAGAAGATGTTCGACAAGATCCGGGTGTACGTGGACTCCGATCATGCGGGCTGTGCAGTCACTCGGAAAAGTACGGGAGGCTTCGTGGCGATGCTGGGGCATCACGTCATCAAGCACGGCAGCAATCTGCAGTCGACGGTCTCTCTGAGCAGTGGGGAGAGCGAGTACTACGCCCTGGTCAAGGGCGGGAGCGTGGGCCTGGGTCTACACAGCCTCTTCGCAGACTGGGGGCTGGACCTGAAGGTGGAGCTCGCCTCAGACTCATCGGCGGCCCGGGGCCACGTCCAACGGCGAGGTCTCGGGAAGATGCGACATGTTCAGTCACGATACCTGTGGATCCAGGAGCGTGTAGGCAAGGGCGACCTTTCGATCGCCGCAGTTCCTGGTAAGAACAACGTCGCAGACGTGCTGACTAAGAGCGTGGGTGGATCTCTCTTGAGGAGACATATGGCGACGCTCAACATCTGGGATCGGGCACCGAGTTCGACCCAGAAGGACATCAAGTGAAGGAGTGGATCGAATCCATGCTCCGCTACCTATGGGGCTGGATGAGTTTCCGCCGGTGGCGGTAGGATCGCACCGGACGGGTGAAGTGAAGGGCTCGCGGCATGGCCGCAGCCCGGCTGATGAAATGGGCGCGTCGGCTTGGACGCGCCCGCGTGTGACGAGATGGGCGCGTCGGCTGGGACGCGCCCGCGTGTGACGTTGAGAAGGGCGTGTCGGCTTGGACGCGCCCGCGTACGACGCATGTCGTGCCTGGCCGGGTTGGCGGCCAGGCCCGAGGAGGAGTGATTCTGACACCCTCCTCCGTGTACCTATTTTGGCTCAAGATGAAAAGAGATCTTGTTGTTAATCAACACATTATCTCATCAAGCATCGCGCACATTCGTCTTATAGGTTTGCAAGAGCTTCCAGGATGGAGGACAGGTCATGTTCGACATGCTGTTGTCGCGTGTCAGCGCCGCGCATATTCGTCTTGAAAGTTGATTCGTCAGAAAAGTTGCAAGGGTTCGTTTGGTTAAAGCCTCATGAGTGGTATCCTGGTGCCGCTTACGATTGTCAGGACGCAACACTCACGTGGATCCGCGGCGTTCGAGTCCCAGGAAAGGTGCTTCAGCGTGATTAAGACTTCTCGTACGCTTGTCTTCTACTGGACCACTTCCCGCAATGAAACTAAGTTGTTGTAGGGACCTGTGAGGAGGGAACTTGGAGGGATGGTTCATTGCAACATCGTTATTGCGCCTTGGGTGTACACTCCTCCTCCTCCTCCTCCTCCTCCTCCTCCTCCTCCTCCTCCTCCTCCTCCTCTTCCTTCTCCTCCTCCTCCTCCTCCTCCTCCTCCTCCTCCTCCTCGTCCTTCTCCTCCTCGTCCTCCTCTTCCTCCCGCCCGTGCCCCCCACACGCGGGGAGATCCAGGATGACTGGACTCGGCTGGCCGTGGCCTTTTGGCTCTGGCCGCCGAAGCCCGAGGCGCACCCGAGCCGGGAGGACCCGAGCCTCATGAATTGCGTGTTCCACCAGCAGGATTGTGGAGCGATGGAGGGAGGAGGAGGAGGAGGAGGAGGAGGAGGAGGAGGAGGAGTGAGGAGGATCTGGTTCGGACCTCGTTCGGCCGATAATTCTCACCACGGGTCGGAGCCATGAGAGCTAGATCGCTTGTTGCAACACATGTTGCTGCATGGAGGTGAATGTGCGGAACGAAGAGAACACACGCGACAAGACATGACACACATTGGTTGCGACAGCTGTGTGATAGAACAAGTTTACATATAGAGTTGCAACTATCTGACCCCTTCCTCAACGTCAGGCATGCGGAGCGTGAGGCAGCACGTTGGCTAGCAGGCTCGCAAACGTCAGAGCCTTCACCGCTTCGAAGATCCGAGGAAGAGGCTGGGGCAGAGGAGAAGGAGGAGGGGATGAGGAGAAAGGAAAAGGCAGAGCGACACCCACAGCTCAGACCGTCCCCGACCCGACCTTCTTCACCACTGCTTCTCCCCTTCATGATGGCCACTATCAACATTTTTCTCGAACGGGTCCATCATGCGATGCTTCTGCCTCGTCGCCGAGTGCCGACAGCAGGCGCGGCGCGCATCGACAGCCTGCAACCTCGCACAACACGCTGGTGCCGAACATAACGCCTGCTGGTCCCACTGGAAACCAGCCATGCACGCTGCTGTCCCAATCCATTGCGTGGCCCCTCCGTCAGTGCCACTCCCGAGTTCGATGGAAGAAACTCGCGGGCGGGAGGGGGCCAAGGCCGGCGGCCTGCTTGCGAGAGGAATGGCTGGGGAGGAGGAGGAGGAGGAGGAGGAGGAGGAGGACCGCCGAGGAGCGGCGGCGGTCCAGGTTGTTCCCCACATGCTTCGTGGGGTTCTGGTTTTCTTCCCTGCCGCGCCGCACCCGCGTCTCACACCTCCCGCCTCCTCACCCCACCCTTCTCACACAGCAGAGCACAGCACAGCTCAGCACAGCACGGAGCTCAGAACAGCACGACACACAGCTCAGCTCAGCTCTTCTCAGCATAGCGCAGCACATCACAGCACAGCGCAGCGCAGCACAGCACAGCACAGCGTATCACAGGACAGCGCGGCACAAACACAAGCAGCGCAACACAGCACAGCACAGCTCAGCACAGCACACAGCTCAGCACAGCACACAGCTCAGCACAGCACAGCACACCACAACACAAGCGCACACACACAACGCACACAACGCGGCGTCTATGCGGGCCATGGCGACACCAGAGGGGGTGCGCAGGGGGTGGTCTCCCTATGCGCGCCAGGGTCGTCCAGGCATAGCAGGCGTGGCAGTTTCTCGACACCAGAGGGGCTGCGCAGGGGGTGGTCTCCCTATGCGCACCAGGGTCGTCCAGGCATAGCAGGCGTGGCATTTCCTCGACACCAGAGGGGGTGCGCAGGGGGTGGTCTCCCTATCCGCGCCAGGGTCGTCCAGGCATAGCAGGCGTGGCATTTCCTCGACACCAGAGGGGGTGCGCAGGGTGTGGTCTCCCTATGCGCGCCAGGGTCGTCCAGACATAGCAGGCGTGGCATTTTCTCGACACCAGGGGGGTTGCGCAGGGGGTGGTCTCCCTATGCGCGCCAGGGTCGTCCAGGCATAGCAGGCGTGGCATTTCCTCGACACCAGAGGGGGTGCGCAGGGGGTGGTCTCCCTATGCGCGCCAGGGTCGTCCAGACATAGCAGGCGTGGCATTTCTCGACACCAGAGGGGTGCGCAGGGGGTGGTCTCCCTATGCGCGCCAGGGTCGTCCAGGCATAGCAGGCGCGGCATTTTCTCGACACCAAGGGGGTGCGCAGGGCGTGGTCTCCCTATGCGCGCCAGGGTCGTCCAGGATAGCAGGCGTGGCATTTTCCTCGACACCAGAGTGGGGTGCGCAGGGGGTGGGTTTCTCCCTAGCCGCCAGGGTCGTCCAGGCATTAGCAGGCGTGGCATTTTCCTCGACACCAGAGGTGCTGCGCAGGGGGTGGGTCTCCCTATGCGCGCCAGGGTCGTCCAGGCATAGCAGGCGTGGCATTTCCTCGACACCAGAGGGGGTGCGCAGGGGGTGGTCTCCCTATGCGCGCCAGGGCCGTCCAGGCATAGCAGGCGTGGCATTTCCTCGACACCAGAGGGGGTGCGCAGGGGGTGGTCTCCCTATGCGCGCCAAGGTCGTCCAGGCATAGCAGGTGTGGCATTTTCTCGACACCAGAGGGGGTGCGCAGGGGGTGGTCTCCCTATGCGCGCCAGGGTCGTCCAGGCATAGCAGGCGTGGCATTTCCTCGACACCAGAGGGGGTGCGCAGGGCGTGGTCTCCCTATGCGCGCCAGGGTCGTCCAGGCATAGCAGGCGTGGCATTTTCTCGACACCAGAGGGGGTGCGCAGAGGGTGGCCTCCCTATGCGTGCCAGGGTCGTCCAGGCATAGCAGGCGTGGCATGTTCTCGACACCAGAGGGGGTGCGCAGGGGGTGGCCTCCCTATGCGTGCCAGGGTCGTCCAGGCATAGCAGGCGTGGCATTTTCTCGACACCAGAGGGGGTGCGCAGGGGGTGG